TCCAGCGAATGCTCGGTATTTATGTTGATGCTTATGAGTTTTGACCGAGCAGTTACCATAGCTAACCCGTTCAGCAACATCCGACTCAATCGTAAAAGATGCATTAAGATTGTCGGTGTAGCCTGGCTGGTCATTATTTTTATCAGTTTCCTCCCGATGTTCAACCATCTAAGCTTCATCAACATATCGTATTTCGGAAGTAACTACTATGGACGTCAAAGTGTGTGCCTGGCTCTACCGCTAGCAAGAGACCGATTACCAGGCTGGGAATATGCCATCGCTATTTTTATCGCCTTCAACCTCTTTGGATTCGTCGTCATCGCCGTGAGTTATATCTCAATTTACATCTCCGTAAAGAGAACAGCATCGAGGGTTAATAGAAGTCAGAGGCGCGCAGAGGAGGTTAAGATGGCAACCAAGATGGCAATGATCGTCCTAACCGATTTCTGTTGCTGGTTTCCAATTATCTTGATGGGGATTGGATCCGAGGTTGGTGTCTGGAAGCTCCCAGCCGACATATACGCCTGGTCAGCTACCTTTATTTTGCCTATTAACTCCTCTCTTAACCCATATCTCTATACAATCGCTTATAAGTGTGACTTTAAGAAAAAGTCACCGAAACAGGTGGCGATAGAAATGCGTTCAGTCCAGCCCAGACCTTCGCCACCGTAGGACCGTTGTCGTCCAGTCTGTTGCCACCTGGCGCCATGGTACTTCTTCACTTCTCCTCACTCTTTACCAAGCTTTTTATGATCTATGTCATCTAGTCAGCGTTTCTGACGTTTTCAAAGGTGCTAACATGTATCCTCCTTTTTGATCCTGCATCCTACAATTCAAAAATTACTATACGAACAAATAATTTGAATCAAGATTGCCGTTAACACTATTAAATTATATTCAAATCATCAAAGAAAGTAAATACAGTGTTCGAGTAAAGGACATAATAATACATCGTGTAGCATAGCTACAATACAATACAATTCAATATACTTTATTCGCAACTAGAAACAGTTGAACTGCACATGCATAAACAAAATTTAAAAATTGCCTTAAAAGTTAAAAAAATATCAAAACGGAGACAGTAGTACAGTAAAAACAAAACAAAAAACAACATAAAAGTTAC